TGTAAACTGTTTGTATCCCTCTTGCAATCTGCCTTTCCACCTATTTTTCTGTTGTTTGTAAATTTGGCTACAGGACATTCACCTCCTTCCTCCAAGTCATATTATACTGATCCCTCTGGAACTCCACTGGTCACAGGTCATCAACCATAAAAGATTCCCTCATCCCCAGTCGCTGTTTCGTGCCCATTAGCGAATTCTCTATCCATGCCAATATAGTATTTCCAACACAGTGGGCTCTTATCATATGACTTAACCTCTTGTGAAATACCCTGTTGAGCATCTTCTGGAAGTTTAAATACAATGCATTTACTGCTTCCCCTCTATCACACTGGTTGAGACTTCCTTGAAGATCTGAATTAATCAGACATGATTTCCCTTTTCATGAAGCCATGCTGACTCTGTTTGATTACATAATGATTTTCCAAATGTTGTGTTATTAGTTCCTTAATAATTCATTCCAATACTTTTTCAACGATAGCTGTTAGGCTAGTCGGCCCAAAATTACCGACCTTTTGCCTCTCTCCCTCTTTGAATAGGGTTATCACGTTAGCGGTTTTCCAATTCTCTGGTACTTTTCCAGAATCCAAGGATTTTTGGAAAATTACAACCAATGCATCTAATATCTCCGTAGCTGCGTCTTTTAGGATCCTAGAATGCCAGGGGTTGATCAGCCTTTAATTTAATTAATTTTTCTCATACTACTGAGAGACAAAGAGGATTAGAGAGGCAGAGCATGACAGACAAGAGGAGTAGAGAGACAAAAATAACAGTGGGGTGTGTGGGGTGAGTGGGGTGAGGGATGTGTGGGGATTAGGGGGTCTGGGGGTATGAGAGTGTGTGATGTGTGTGTGGGGGGGTGGGGTGTGTTTGGGTATGCGGGGTGTGGGGGTGGTGTGGGCGGTGTGGGCAGTGTGGGCATTTGAGTGTGAGAGTGTGTGGTGTGTGGGGTGTGAGACCCAGAAAGTTGGGCGGAGTGGTTAGAAATCTATTCAATGACACAGCAGGTTCAAACGTCTGAATGATGTATTTCTGCACCTGCATTGTAGGTTTCGGTATCCTTTCGGTATCCACCAGCATGGTGCTCCCTTAGCCCAGTCACTCTGTGCCCTCACATCTGTGCTGCTCAATCACACTGAAATTCAGCTGAAGCGCCTTTAAACAGGACTGGGACAGCACTCAAGTTCAGCAAATAATATGTCTGCAATGCGAGGACGCAAGAGAGAAGGTTCAGGGCCACAATGAGTCACGTTGTAATGGTAGGCTAAGCGAATCCACGTTCACTCTGGCCCAGCAAACACCAGATTATCAGAGAGGGACACACAGACAAGTGCTCAATTAAGTTTGTGGATGACACAAAGATTGGCCAGATGGTTGACCATGACAGGGTAAATAGGAAGCCGTTGTTCCCTTTAGTTGAAGGGTCAATAATGAGGGGGCATAATTTCAAGGAGAAGAGCAGGAGATTTACAGCAGATTTCAGGAAAAACCTTTTCAATTGGAGGGTGATGGGAATACAGAATCCAATGCCTGGGAGGGTAGTTGGGGTGGGACAACTCAAATCCATTGAAAAGTAATTGGATGAGCACTTGAAATGTTATAACATTCAAAGCTATGGACCAAGTGCTGGGAAGTGGGACTAGTGTAGATGTAGAATAATCTTTTGTCAGTGCAGACTTGATGGGTCAAAGGCCTAATATGTCCTATATGATTCTACAGGCATGGATAAGACGTGCATAGTAAGGGGTGGACTGCAGCTGAAAACCAAGAACCACTTTCAAAGCCCGCGACTAGACCAATGTAGTGATTGTAACAAGATCAGCCAGATGGACCTCATTGAATATCAGGTAGACAAACAGGAGGCTGGAAGAACACAGCAAGCCAGGCAGCATCTGGAGGAAATGAGCAGTCAATGTTTCAGGTATTACCCTTCATCAGGACTGGATGTAGGAGTAGGGGGAGCTGCAGATAAAGAGAGGCGGGGGGAAGGGGTGGTAGTGAAATGGTGTTGATTGGTGGACACTGGCATTAGGTATGACCTGGTTGGTGGCTGGAAGGGAGGGTCAGAAGGTGGAACAGAAGGGAGGAGGTGAGGCTGGAAGGGGAGCTGGGGGATGGATGGGAAGGTTATTTGAAATTGGAGAACTCAATGTTGAATCCTTCGGGCTGTAGGGTGCCCAGGCAGAAGATAAGGTGTTGTTCTTAAAATTGAACAATTTGAACACAAGGTTAAGATGACTAGCAGAAGCATGTGACTTTAGTTTAACCCTTGAGATGCTGAGAGACCATTTGGTATGTGGGATTAATGATGTAACCATGCAAGAGCACCTACCAGCTGCAGTCCAACGGGATTTCAAACAGACTCCTCAACAGACTTTAATCAATGGAAAATGCGGCAAGCGGAGCATATGAGTTGCAGGGGATTCCAATGTAAGTGGACATCCTCTCAGTTCGATTGAGATCGGGCAACACCAATTGAGTGAAGGGAAGCCTCACTCAGGACATGTCCTGAACAGAGGGACTCTAGGTCAGCCCACAGCAAAATCCCAAAATAAAACCAAGCCTCAGCAAAACAGTTAACATTTCCTTCAGGATCTGGGCTGGCAAGCCATTGGAGCTGCTGCCAGTATGGGGACTTGAGACAGCAAAAGAATCCCACTAGTAAGAGTACTCACAGGCTAGTATCCAGGCGAGTGCACACCCTGGAAAGTCCACCTATATCTGGTTTGGAACAGTTAAATTGCTTAGCAACATCCAAATCAGAACCAATCAAAATAAACATCTGGTTAAATAGTTACCTGGTTCTAATGGAGGCTGATACCAGCACGACCATTTCAGTGATCGCAGAAGCAGTTTTTAACAAAATTCTCTCTGGACTTCAAACTTTACATCTGTACAAGACCTTGGCTAGACTGAAAACCTATACCAGGGAACCTGTTCAGATTAAGGGCACAATTTCAGTTTGGGTCTGCTATGAGAAGCAGCCAGATGCAAGTGGTGAGCTATTGTGCGTTAGACACCGCCCAAGCCAGAGGCAAAAATGGAGGAACCTGACCGGTGCTGCCTCAGGAGGAGCTACAAAATAAAAAGAACGGCCTAACTCAGAGGGGGAGGGATGTAGTGATTGTGACGAGTTCAGCCAAGTGGATGTCACCACAGAATAGGACTTCCCTGATTGGGGCTGTTAACCTGGTCCAATCAGGGAGCCCTAGCTGATAGATATAAACAGGAGCATCAGAGGTTCTGTTCACTCTGGCTATGAGGGAGCTGCATCAGTGTCAAAGATTCTCCACATGTAAAGAAAGGGTGACAGCATCATAGAGTATGGAAACAGATCCTTAGGTCCAACTTGTCCATGCCAACCAAGTTTCACAAATGAAACAAGTCCCATTTGTCTGCACTTGGCCCATATCCCTCTAAACCTTTTCTACTCATATACTTATCCGAATGTTGTAACTAGACCGGCATCCACCACTTCCTCTGGCAGTTGATTCCACATATGAACCACGCTTTGTGTGAAAAAGTTGCCTCTCAGCTCTCCACTAAATTTTTCTCCTCCCACCTTACAATCATGTCCCCTAGTTTTGAACTCTCCTACCCGAGGGAAAAGACCTTTGGTATTCACCTTATCTACGCCGGTCATAATTTGATAAACCTCTATAATATCACCTCTTAACCTCCTATGCTCCAGTGAAAGAAGTCCTAGCCTTTCCAGCTTCTCCTTATAACTCAAAACCTCCAGTCCCGGTAACATCCCTGTAAATCTCTTATGCACTCCCTACAATTTTATAATATCTTTCCTATTGCACAGCAAACAAACCTGTACACAGTGCTCCATGTGATCTCACCAAAAGTGACCTCCAAACACCTATAATCAATAGTCTGGGCAATGAAGGTCATATTGCAGAATAGGTTGAAACTTTGTATCGCTGGGATTTTATGTTTTTTCTAACTGTATTCTATTTAACTATATTTCAATGAATAACCACCATGTTAAATAAAATAAAAAAACATATAATCTATCAGGCCAGATTACATTCTGGAATTTGACCTATCCAACAGTACCATCAGCTGGGAACATAACAGTGTATTCTGTCAAAACGACCTTTCTCAGAAAACTTATACATCCAATAAATAAATGCAAGAAGCACATGTTCCTTACCCTGAGCTGGTAGGATTTGCGTTCAAAAAGATTAGGTCCTAATATAGGCATTGGCTCATTCTAGAAACTGAACTCGAGAAGTCGTTGGTTTTTCGATCCAGAACATTTTATCTCTCTTCATCTTGAATTCCAGCTTAATCTTGCTAATCTTTGAGAAAGCTCTGGTTGGTGACAGGATACTGGCCTACGATGAGTTATTTTAACCAAAGTGCCAGCAAAGTACCCTACCAATGTTAAAACTAGTGATCTAGAAAATGCTGCTCTGAGGTCAGGAAACTAAAGGAAGCAAATCAAGATAAAGAAAGGAGATTCAAGTCTGCAATGGGAAGGGCACAAAAGGAGACATTTAGAACTTTGTAAATCAGCACGTCAGCGTATAATAATATAAGCATTAATCTACCTTTTCAATCTGTTTCGTTTGTAAATTACTTTTTCCTTCAGCCACGTTAGCAAAGGTATTGAACCTCTCACCATCAACTACTTTTGACACTTGTCAAATAAAAAGAAAACATCTACCTTTTTCCTAGCACTCTTCCCACCACCATAGCCCACCCGAACAATGTGACTTTACCAACCCTCCTACCATTGCGTTGGATTTCCCGAATCCCTTGCAACCCATCTTGGGAATCACTGTTACAGTCATAAGATTTGTGCTGTGTACCCACAACAAACGTTTAGCTTAAGTTTATTTCACATTAAATCTTCACAGCCAACAGACAGGGGAGGCCTTCACTCCATCTGCCCGATATGGATTTAAATTCTGATTCCAAAGATGAAAGGATAACAATGTGCCATTGAATCTGAGATGTAAGATAATGAATATTTTGTAGAAGTAACTTACCTTTCCTGCAACTTTGAGCATTTTGAAATGCAACTGCTACTAAGGCAGGGCGCACAAAAACATGTAGTATCTGATTTCTATAGGATGCACACATCAGCACAGAAATGGTGTACTTGAAAATATCTTCTACTGTGAATTTAGCTGATGTCCCTTCTTGACAGAGCACAACCTGGTCTTTGACTGTCTTCACTACATTGTGGTGTAGGGCAAGACTTGAGCGAATCACCTTGTCAGATGTAACATTCCCTGGAACACACAAGGATCGGTGAAATTTTGTGCAACACAAACATAGATTTAGAAGATTAAGGGATGATCTTTTGACAAAGTCCTTCATTAAGCGATTAATGTGTAAAATTAAAGCATATGGGATTAGGGGTAGTATATTGACATGGATAGAAAATTGGTTAGTAGACAGAAAACAGAGCAGGAATAAATGGACCTTTTTCTGAATGGCAGGCAGTGACTAGTGGATACTGCAGGGATCAGTACTAGGACCCCAGCTATTCACAATTTATGTTAATGATTTAGATGAGGGAACTAAATTAATCTCTCAATTTGCAGATGACAAAGCTGGTGGAAGGGTGAGTCAATACAGTGTGGAGCTGGAGGAACACAGCAGGTCAGGCAGCATCACAGGAGCAGGAGTGTCAATGTTTTGGGCCTAGACCCTTCGTCAGGAATTGATTCCTGGGATGGCAGGACTGACGTATGAGGAGAGATTAAGTCACCTAGAACTGTATTCACCGGAGTTTCGAAGAATGAGGGAATCTTGTAGATACTTATAATACTCTAATAGGATTAAACAGGTTAGATGCGGGAAGGACATAGATAAGGAGGAATTTCTTCATCCAAACAGTGGTAAGCCTGTGGAATTCTCTATCACAAGAAGTCATTGAAGCCTAAACATTGTGTTTTCAAGGAGGAGGTAGCTCTTGTAGCTAAAGGAATCAAGGGATTGGGGGTGGGGGGGGGGGAGAGGAGGAGGAAGAAGAGGAGCAGGATTAGGGCATTGAGCTCGATGATCAGCCATGATCGTACTCAATGGCACAGCAGGCTGAAGGGGTCAAATGGCCAATCCTGCTCCTATGTTCTATGATAAAAGGCTTCAAGATACTAATAGGGAAAAACAGGCTAAACAAAGATAAACTATTTTCACTGGTTGGGGATTCTAGAACTAGGGGGAATAGTTTAAAAATTTAGGGCCATACTATTTAATAGACGTTAGGAAGCACTTCCACACACAAAGGGTGGTAGAGGTTTACAACTCTCTTCCACAAACAGTTGATGCTTGATCAGTTGTCAATTTTAAATCCGAGGTACTGATACTTGACTGTATATCAGCAACACATAATAGCACGAGAGAAATTTCACCACCAATATCTCCACTACATTCTCTAGATTCAACGAGAGAATGAATGAACAAACCAGTGTTCTGCTTGAAGCCAACTGTAAAATTATTCAGGGAGAATTACTGCAAAATCAACTGCAGTGGACTGGACACTGTCAGGATGGCTGAAAAGCATCTCTCCCCTGCCAGGTCATGGTGTTCAACTCTCAAGTGGCCAGCATTCCAGGGAAGGATGAAGAAGATGTTACAAAGATACACTAACTCTCTCCTTGAAGTGTAGTAGCAGTAACATTAATGAATTGGATGAACCTGCTACCAACCATTCAAAATTACAACATCATGTTGATCAACTTCATGCTTCAAGTCCAAACATCTTTATGATGAGGGATAGTAATGACAGAGAGAGAAAGGAATAGAGTCAAATCCTGGTCTCCAGATTGTACTAATGACCTCTGGAAAGTCTTGATCAATGTGCCCAAAGATCTGGGGTCTAGACTCAGCCTGATCAGTGACATTAAGGCCAAAGCTGAAACGCATGACCTTGAGTAGATATCATTTTTGAATCAAGGAACAACCAAAGATGCTGAGGATTTGTAAAACCAAGAATTTGTACTGTTTGTATTTAATTACTTTGAAAATTTTATTTGCAATGGATATAGCTAAATAAATCAGTCGGTAACACATTGCCCCTTGTGCAAGGCAATATATTACCAACTAGTATATTTAGGTAAAAGAAAAGTCGCTATTGTCCCAAAGGACCATAGGGCTGCTTTCTCATTAGAGACACGACTGGTGGTGAGCTTAACCTTGGGGTCACTACGCCTCAGGCAAGGGGCAAGATTGAGAAGGCAGGACCTTCACAGTAAGCTCAGCCAATATGGAAACTGAACCCACGTTATTGACATTACTCTGATCACAAACCAGCCATTCAGCCAACTAAGCTAACAATAATAGGCATTTCCATAGTACCTCCAATCTAGGGAAGCATCCCACGGTAATTCAAAGAAAGGAGAGTTGGTGCAGCCTTTTGTAGGAGGGGTTTGCAGAAGTGGTCAGCCATTTCTTCTGCTCCTTTATCACCGTTAGCAACTCATTTAGAAAGTGCATGTGTGGATTTTTGTGGAGACATAACCAAGGCTTTGTCACGATATAACATGCTGAATAGCTACTTTCTAGACTCTACAAACAGTTGCTTGGGTAAAGCATTAGAAGGCTGCAGTCATTGCCTTGAATGGAGTGAAGGGATGAAGTGGAATGATTAAAACCTAAATCAAAAGCTACTCATGCTTTTTGGAAACGTATTTGGATAATGATTTTTTAACAATCATTTGAAAGTTGTTGCAAAACACTTGGTGAATCAGGTAGAGGTTAAAAATGGATAGAACTTTAGGGTATCTTCACAATAGATAGTTCTAGAGTAAACTTTCATTACTTACCAGGCCAGTCAACAAAAGCACCAAATGTTTCTGCAATTGCTTTGAGCCATAGTGTCTGTCTGGTGAGATCCGACAAAGGAATGCTGGGCAGGTTTTGGATGATCACTGTAGCTATCAGTGCCCAGGAACTGATGACCATGTTTTTCTGCTGCAACATCACCATTCTATGGCCTACAGCATCGAGAAATCTATGTACATCTCCACATGGTTTCCGAGGAATATGCCTGCATAGATGTCAAAATTACCACACAGTCAAAAGTTTTACTTGTTAGCGTCAAACAGCCTGACGTCACTGAACTTCTCAGGGTCATACAGGATGGAAACAGACTCTTCAATCTAACTCATCGGTGCCGACCAGAAATCCCAATCTGACCTAGTCCCATTTGCCAGCATTTGGCCCATATCCCACTGAACCCTTCCTATTAATATACCCATCCAGATGCCTTTTAAATATTGTGATTGTACCAGCCTCCACCACTTCCTCTGGCAGCTCATTCAATACATGCACCACCCTCTGCATGAAAAAAATTCCCCTCCAGATCCTTTTTAAATCTTTCCCATTTCACCTTAAACCTACGCCCTCTAGTTTTAGTCTCGCCCACCCAAGGAAAAAGACCTTGGTTATTCAGCCTTTCCACGCCATTATGGTTTTATAAACCTCTATAAGGTCATCCCCTCAGCCTCCAACGCTTCAGGGAGAAAAAAAGCCCCAGACTATTCAGCCTCTCCTTCTAACTCAAATCCTCCAGTCCCAGCAACATCCTTGTAAATCTTACCTGCACCCTCTCAGGTTTAACAATATCCTTCCTGTGGAAGGGCAATCAGAATTGTACACAGTATTCTAGAAGTGGCCTCACCAATACAGCTGCAACATTACATTTTAAAGTCACTTTTTTCTTACCAGCACTTCTCTCATTTCTTTTCTCTAACATTTTAATTAACAGGAGTTTACAAAAGTGAAGTATAAACAGATCAGAAACACATAGTCATCAAACATTTTCTAAAGAAATGAGCACGCACATGTGCTATGTCCACACAAAGGTTATGAACTTGCATTGAATATATTATTTACCTTGTTCTATCAGTAATTATATTAAACAAATAGATCCCATTTACTCTGTTACATTGATGACTTATATCCCATTACTCATGTTACACCTGGGCTTTTTTGGGGGGGCTGGGAAGAAAAAGAAAGGAAGAGAGAATTGTTACCTTTGTTACATTCTTGCTAGGAGTTTATAAGAATGAGAGGAGGTCTAATTTAGGTATACAGATGCTAACGGGGGTTCACAAAGTAGACACAGGGCAGATGTTTCCTCATGTGGGACACAATTTTAGGCTAAGGAGCAGTAGATTTAAAACAGAGATGAGGTGGAACTACTTCTTTCAAAGGATCATGAATCTGTGGAATTCACTACCCCAGAGTATAGTGAGTAAATTTGAGGGGATAGACATTTTTAAATAGTAATGGGTTAAAGGGTTAATGGGAGTGGACTGGAAGGTGGAGTTGAGACCGAGATGAGAACAGCTATAATTGTATTATGTATAATCGGAGCAGGTTCGAGGGGCTGAATTGCCTACTCCTGCTCCTAGTCCTTATGTTCTCTTAAATTATAAATTATGCTGTCTACTTATCCTTTTAACATTCTGAAGCCTTTTCTCAACTATACATTAGGCCAACTGTTCCATAATTTTTAGGCTCATCTTCAGTTGGCTCACTTTTAATAACAAATATTAATTCTACAAGGACGAATCACAAGGCATCATCTTAATTATTCTTCTCCTATTAAGTATTAGTAACTGACCTAGGGACCAAGTTGTACTGAGATCTCTTAACTGCCCCAGTTGCTAGCGATCTCACCGACACAGGCTGCCCGAAGTAAACATGTATGCTTCCAAAGTTTTCACTCAGAATCTTCCTGGCTTTCAACAAACCCTAAAACAGAAAACCAATTTGATCACTCATTTGTAATCTCATTGTTATTAGAAAAAGCTAAAATGGAGACAGTACAATAAGAAACCTATACACACAGAAGTCGATTCCTTCGGCTTTGGTACTCCTAGAAGCTCGTGTGCATACAGGGATTCCTCCAGGATTCGCTCATAGCTTATACTTATGGGAACTAAGTACATGTCGAAAACCTCCCCCATCAAAAAAGGTTCAATTGCAATGTTCAAAAGTCCTACGAAAAAGAACATTTTTCAAATCTTTATAAACAAGACAGCAATATTAATCAAAGCATAAAGTATTTGCATTTATATAGAGAATTCACCTTCTGCAACAATGTGTGTGTGTCATAAAATAATGTCAAGTTGTTTTATGATAGCTGTGGTATTAAGGTATCAAAATGAAACCAGGAAAATTGACTGTCTGCAATATACAGAATTCCACGCATCGGCATCACGATGCTGATGAAATTTTACTGTTGAAGGGCAGACATTTTAAAAGATAACCCTGCAGTGGTTGCACTAAAACTGCAACTTGCCATGCCCACAGAGTTCTAAACTGATTGCTAAAAAATCAAGATCACTCTCAGATTGGCAACATCATTTTAGGATGAAACCTGCTGGATTTAATTGCAGTTTAGCTGGTCTAGACTTTGAGGAAATCGCAATTGCATTCCTAATAATATTGAGGTTTTGTTTCAAACAAACTGGTTCTTTACTGTGGTAAGTATTTAGAATATTTTAAAATCCTTTGTGCAAGTATTACCAGTGGTCTAGTGGAAGCACTCTCAGCACACGAGTCAGAAGTTGCTAAATTCAAGCAATAATCCAGAGATTTGAACACAGATCACAGGTTAGCACAAAGTTGCAGAAAGAGGAAATATTGCAGTGAGGCGCTGTCTTTTTCACAAGACACTAAGAAGAGGCTCTGTCTGCCCTCAAAAGCTAGACACAATAATTCCCACAGATCTTTACAGAGGAGTAGGGGAGTTCTTACCTGGTGTCCTGACTAATATTTATCTGATAACCAACATCTGTAAACCAGATGATCTCGTCATCATCTCTTTGCTGTTTCCAGAACTTTGCAGTGCAGGAACTGGCTATCATGTTTCCCAGCAGCTATTACACTCCAAGTGTTTTGGGACATTCTGAAACTGTGCAAGATGCTGTATGATCACAATTTCTCCTTTGATAGGAAATTCCAAGATTATGCTCAGGAGAATGTAAACACCTATTTTTTCAGTTTTTTCTTAGGTTCAGGGAGTTATTTGTAATAAATAATGATCCAAAACCAAATTTCTCAGTATGAGGCCTGATTCTATTGTAACACAAAAAAAACATTCTGTTATCATCACTGCAACAGTATTCCTATCATACAGAAAATCAGGACCAGTTTCTACCTTTGTTGGTTCCATAAACCGCAGAGGATGAGTACCTAAACATTAGTTTTGGTCAGTTCACTTAGCCACATATCACTGAGTCTTGGAGGTGTGTAAGAAGTTGCATTAGAAATCAGTGACCACTTGACTAAGTCTGAGAAATTAAAGACATTTCTGTCGCTACAGGAATATGATCAGCTTCAGTCAATGGGCCTAGGACACACATTTTAAGAAAATAAGCCCTATGAGCTTGACAGACTGGACTACAGTTTGTGGGTACACGGATTCACAGGTTGTAGTTTGGACATCTCAGCGCAGAGTCTCAAACTCTATTGGTTAAATTACTTCATATGACTGGAAGTCCTTAATTACAATAAGCCAAAGCCTCGATTTACATCTCAACAGCAGTGTGTATAGCATTATCTACAACTAAAACATCGACAGATTACATCACTATGACAAACACCATTCATAAATAACTTAAATATCCTTGCCAAATTATCAGTGAAAATGCTATGACTTGACAATTTTAACAGCTGTCTATCTTGCCAGTTTTTGGAAAGAACAAGTATTCCCTCTAAACAAATGGGAGATTATATATTTTTTGATTCATTACAATTTTAATTTGAACATTACTTGCTGGTAGCTTTTGACAATAAATCCGAATTTTTAAATGTTCATTCTGCAATTTTACTTTAGCAGAACCAACTGATATCTAATTGTTGGCTCATTAAAAATGAGCAACCGCTTGAACCTCACTTGTAAAGATAGTAATAATTTATTATTGGTGGTTTAGTCTCATCTTAAATTTAATTTTCTGCATTTCATGCTCCATTCTTGTTATCCCAATACATAGCTTTATCAATCAGTCTATTCAAAATAATTGGACAAGACAATTCAATCTGAGCAGGCAACAGTACTTTAAATAAAGGTATACAAGGCTGGAACCCAAAGCTCAACCTGTGGGGTGGTGCAATCATACTTTGATACTAGAGTGGAGTTTACCAACTCTTCCTGTATTTAAATGATGTGAATATAGGTTTATCTGTTTGCAGCAGAGTTTGACAATTAACTTTTCGGGTGACATTTCTGGTAGTTATCAGTAATATGTTTAAGATACTAGCAAATAATTTTACGCAATAGTTCTTGTGTCAATCCTTTAATCCTGCTCAGGCTACAAAAGGTGAAATGTCATTGTCATATGCTTGCAGTCTATAATTTCTGCACTGGACTGGTCTCTGGCACGATTCTGCGCTACAACATGAACACTGCGTTTTAAGTGCCTAATATACATTACATTTTGCTTCTCTTTCTACTACAACACCAATCCCACTTTCCCTTTTTTTCCTCATTGTATCTCTGTATCTCTCCTGCCTAGTTGAATTGAGGCAGGAATATCTGAAGTGGTGATGCTTTATAGGAAGTTTCATAACTTCCTCTTACTTCTCTAATGAAACCACTCCAAGCGTATTGAGTCAGGCTACAGAGAATCCAAAAGCAAATATGACAATTGCGTAAGGTGCACTTGATTGTGTCTAATACATACAACAATTTCCAAAGTTGTCGTAATGATGTAGTATGACAATTTCCAAATCTGAAGGGTTAAAAGGCTGTGCCATCAGGATTGTGACTGGCTGATGTTTTGTTGTGTGAAGTGAGAATCTTATCCAATAGAACATAAAATGGAAAGTGTCTGTTAACCTTAACTCGGTGAGTTTTGCTTTATTCCTGGGCAACCTTTTGGTTGTATCTGAGGGTCTGTTAACAAGCAACATTTGTGTTACCTCCTTTGCTGCCTCAAATGCATTGTTTTCATAAGGAAATATTAACATAATTGTACTAGATTGGGACTAGTAACCCAGAGGTCATGAATTCAAAGTCCACTATGGCCAGCTGCTAAACTGAATTCATGTTTATGGTCTTGGTTCACATTACTTTGTAGGTTTTCTGCTGTGGATGACCAGCCATCTGTGATATCGGGCTGTGAATGATGGCACGCACACATGGTACCAGGGCCCTTGAAGAAAGTGGAAGAGGGTTGTAGGTGGTCGTAGGCTTTTCCTGCTAGCTCCACAAAGACAACAGTTGTTAAAAAGAACTAAAAAATTCACAATATTTTGGGCTTGAATGGTTTAGGATTTCACAATCAGATAACTTCAGTGACAAAGGAGCTCCCAAACCCCTCAAAAACATACTCTCAAACTCACCTAATTTGGGAGTAAGAGATTTTCCAGTACGACTTCTAGTCCCTTCCACAAAAAATTCAACAGGAGCATCACCATTCTGTAAGATGAGTTTTCAGTTAACACACAGGCCTTCATTAGCATACAAAAATGTAGGCAACTTATCAAATAACATTACTGATGGAATAAAAAGAATTCACAGACCTTTCCTCTGTAACGCAGTGAGCAGAGATTAACAAGGCAACTTGGACCAGATGTTTATAACACCTGGAATTTTCACACTATAAACTAAGCAATGAACACCACAGGACTATTTCAGTGACTCTGCGCTTTCACAAACAACTTGTTATGATTCTAAGACCAGTGCTCCCATTCAGCAAGGTTTTATAATGGTAACTGAAAGCTTACATGATTAAATTGCTATGCTGCCTTAATTCCATTAATGATCATGCTTTTCTGCCTCATAGAAAGAAGTCTTGCTTTATGTGGCAGAACTAAACAAACAACATGTTTTTTATTGGGTATAAGCAAATTGAATAATTTTCTATTGATAGTAAGAAACTCGCACATTACTCACTCAACTTAAGTCATCTACTTCACAACAAACTCATTTTTAAAAGCAGTTAAAATGTTCCTTAACCTGAAGTATGAGTTATTCAGAACAGTAATATGGCACCATACCTACAAGAACATAGATTTCCTGTTACTACCTCTGATTTAAAACTCACAACTGATCCAACATCAACCTCTGTTTGTGGAAGAGAGTTCTAAACCTCTACAACCTTTTGTGTGCAGAAGCTTTTCCTAACAACTCTCCTAAACAGTGTGGCCGTACTTTTAGACACTGCCTCCTTTGCAGCTGAATATACATAACTAGAAAAATTGGATTTTAAAGTCCATTAGAATAACATAACTAATAATTATTTACTGTTATCTGCTGTTCATAAATTATTTATTTCTGTACTGAAGTCCTTGTATTGCCCCGGGAATAACTTTGCAGAAAATGAAATGCTCCAAACTCTCTTCACCAGGAAAAAGAGTCTCCTCTGAATTCTTCCCAAGGTGCCTTCCATCTTCTGCTCAGACGTTAAATATGAGAAACCTAATATTTTACTACCTCTGCTTCCTTCAGGTACCTGATCTCCTCTATACCATGGTTCTTCCTCCACCTCCCCCAGATCCCCCAAACTCCAGCTCCTGGTCAGTTAACATCTCCCTTCAGTGTGCTCTGATCACTGACATCAACAACTTGTCCCTATTCATTAACTTTATCACTATAACTTAGGAAAACGGCTACCAGTTCCTCCTCAAATAGTGTTTCCAACTACTCACCATCCTCAACATTCCCCATCTTTCTGAACCCTGGAGTGCATTATTCCTTCATTTACATCCGCACTACTTCATATATGAAAGATTACAATCAGGTTTTTGTCCTGCACACAGCACTGAGACACCATAAGCAACACACCATTGGATTGCAGCAGTAACCTTAGTATACACCTTCACATCTCCTGACTACACGTCACCAACTCTTTTATTGCTGACCTCCTTAGCAGTTTCCTCATGTACTTTAGCCCCAGTCCCTCTTCACCTTGCCATTTGCCTCACTGCCATCAAAACCCACAAGATTTTTCTTTTCAACCATGATTTGTTACAACTGTCCCTCTTCCTTTTCTTTTTATCTATGACAGGTAAAGCACCCAGAGACATCTAAAGCTAATGCAAACTGGGGTAAAATAATTTTCTCACAATGATTAATTCAGGTTAGTGCTGGATGAATGCAAATTAATTTCAGTCATTGATGCATAGCGAAAGCACATTACACAGTACAATAATAAGAGATAACACAGTGTGGAACTGGAGGAACACAGCAGGCCAGGCAGCATCAGAGGAGCAAGAAAGCTGACATTTCGGGTCAGGACCCTTCTTCAGATTTCTGGAGAAGGGTCCCAACCCGAAACGTCAGCTGTCCTGGTTCTCTGATGCTGCCTGGTCTGCTGTGCTTCCCCAGCCCTACACTGAGTTATCTCTGACTCCTGCATCGACAGTTCTTACTATCTCTTACACTGTACAATGCTCTGTTCATTCTGCACAGTAAGAACAGTACTGCACTGTTTATGTTATTTAAGCAATTTAATTAAAGTTAAGAACATTTTTTTTTTTAAATCCAAAGGTTTTGATGTGGCAAATAAAGAATATTATTTGGTCAGGAAGGACTCATTCAAGACAGATAACCAATTAAAAAATTCCAAGCAGTTTAGAAACAATTTATTTGCATGGAGGGATATTGAAGCATAGACTGTTTTGCCATAGACTGTAGTTGAGGCCGAATCCACTGCATCTTTTATGGGAAAATTGATTAAAATGTAAAGCCAAGTTGCATGGAAATGTGGAGAGTAGGCAGTGGAATTCACTTCAGATTGCTCTAGCACAGAGAAATTAGGCCATATGGCCTTCTATTGTGCTTTAATTAGTGTTTTAAGTTAATACAAGAGGATAAGATCACTGAACAGTCTTCAGCAGCAATGTTGTTACTGTTATGTATTAACTTCAAAAGAAGATGTTAATAATGTCAACACATCTGACAGAATACCAATTCATTTATTTAATGCAGCGGTAAACAGAACACTGACCCGCAAAATTGTTTTCACATATTCAGAAAAAACTGCCCAGTACAATTTGTCTCCTCCAAATGAACGGCGAATAAAAAAAGCACCTGACATTCGCAGCATCTCTCCAACTATTTTCATTCCCATAAAATCTGCAGAAGAAGCAAAAGTATTGTTCAAGTAAAAGTCAAGACCAAGATAAAAATAGATTTTAAGTTGAGTCATATTCCACTGTGTAACTGCAATTAAACTAATTACACCTAGCTTCTGAATTAAAACTGTTACTTGCCCATTCCAGCAGCAATGACTGGCAAGCAGAGGTCATACGTGTACATGATATATGACAACATGAGGAAGTCTATGTAGCTGCGATGGCTAGGCAGCAGAACAACTGGATATTCTTGTATAGCCTGATGTAGCTGAAATAAAATAACACATTTACAGATATTTATTTAATACAGGCAAATTTAACTTTAAGGATAAATATTTGTCCATACAAATTTAAGAATAGAAAACTATACACCACTCAATGGAAGATAACTAACTTTGTAAGCAAGTGCTGTTTCATTGCCACTCTATAGGGTTCACTACTGGTACATATGTGGACCTCACGCATTAGCAACATAGCAAAGGAAGGTTAGTCCTCAGGTCAGAGGCTTTATCTATAAAGCAATAGTGGGGAGTTAACCACTTCTTCAGTATCAGAAGGACAGGTATCACTTGTACAGGAAGCCAAAGGCAGGAGGCAACGTTTAAAAAGGGGAGGAGAAAGATGACGATTTTCATCATCAACATTTACGTAGTCGCTTTATATAGAAAATAGAAAAATATGGAACCAAGGCAAATAAGGGGAACTAAAAAGGGGGTGACTAATTGTCCCATGAAAGGTGCGATTTAGAGAACAAGGGAGACAAAGTTAGGGAGTGAATTCTAGATGACCAGCAGGAGGATCAGCTTCCAATGTTGAGTGAAAATCCACATAAGTAACACTAACACCCATAAAAATATACCTAACTCAACCGATCATCTTAAGTAGAAACTTAGACAGGAAAAGAAACATAGGAACGTTCAGAGAATTTTAAAAGTAAAGCTCCAAAGTGTGATAACAATTTAGTCCACAATAAGGCAAAATAGCAGAAGTAGACCAATAAGCCCACTGAGTCTGCTCTGCCATTCAATGAGATCTGATAATCCACAACTCCACTTTCCTGCCTTTACCCTATAATCCATGATTTCCTTTCAGATTAAATATCTATTTCAGCCTTGAATTTACTTAACAACCTTACCTCTACAGCATTCTGCAGTACAGAATTCCACAGATTCACTACCCTCAGAAAAAATTCCTCCTCAACCCTGTGACCAGTTACTCTGAGATTATGTCCTCTGGTCCTAGACTCTCCGACAAGGGGAAACAACCTTTCTACACAGTCAAGACTCTTAAGAATCTCGTATTTTTCAAAAAGTATGCCTTTCATTCTTCAAAACTCCAAAGAGTACAGGCCAACCTACCCAATCTCTTCTCATAAGACAGTCCCTCCATACATGGGATAAACCTGGTGAGCCTTCTCTCGACTACCTCCATTGCCAGTAGAGCTTTCCTTGGATCAGGAGCATAAAAATGTTCTTGTAATCCAGCTGTAGACTAGCTAGTACCTTGTATTGTTTTTATATTTTTATATGCTATCTCATTTGAAACAAAGGCTAATGTTCCACTCGCCTTTCCTATTATCTGCTGAACCTGGATGCTAGCATTTTATGATTTATGCATGAGGATTTCCAAACCCATCTGTGCTGTATTTTTCTGCAGTCGTTCTCCATTTAAATAATATTCAGCTCCTTTATTTTTCCTGCCAAAGTGCTTAACCTCACATTTTCTGACATTATGTTCCATCTACCAAGTCTTTGCCCACTTGTTGAACCTGTCTTTCTCCCTGTGGATTCTTTGAGTCATCCTCACCACTTCCCTTCTGACCTATTTTTGTATCGTACCCCGAAGTTGGGGATAGAATGCTCACTTCTCTCATTGAAGTAATTTTTACATATTGTAAATAATTGTGGACCGAGCACTGATCCCTGCGGCACTCCTCTAATTACAGGTTACCATCCTGAGAATGCCCTTGTTATCCAAACTCTGTCCTCTATGAGTTGGTCAAGCCACAATCTGCGCTAATAGACAACCATGGGCTCTTATTTTATTAAGTAGCGTAACATGCTACTTAATAATCAGCACCTTCTAAAAATTCAAATATATTACATCCACTGCTTCCCCTTCACCTATCCTGGTTGTTTCCTTCTTGAAAAAAGATTGAATATATTTGTCTGGCGCGATTTCCCTTTTATGAAGCCATGCCGACTTTGCTTGATCATATTATGCATTTCTAAATGCTGTTATTACATCTTTTATAACAGTCTCCATCATTTTCCCAATGACAGATATTAAGATAACTGGCCTATGGTTACTTGTTCTTTTATCTGCTTCCCTTTTTAAGTAAAAGTTGTTGCATGGGCTGTTATGTAATCTTTTGGGACTTTTCCACAAGCCAAACTCTGTAGCTATTCTTACAGTATCCTAGGACTTACTGGTCTTTAACCCCATTAGTTTCCCTATCACTTGTTCTCTAATGACAGTTATTGTATTAATTTCCCATCATCCTTTTTATGCCTTGATTATATGGTAATTTTGAAAGGCTATTAGTGTCTTCTACAGTGAAGACTAATATAAAGTTATTTATTCAACTCCACTGCTCTTTCATAATTATCTCCACAGCTTCATTCGTTAAGGGGCCTATGTTAACTTTGGCCTCGCTCTTCCTATAAATATATTTAAAGAAGCTCTCGCTATCCACCTTGATATTTCTCAAATTTACTCCTAAAGTCTGTTGTTGCCCTCTGTTATTTTTGGTCATTTTTTTGTTGGTTTTTGAAACTTTCCCAGTCCTCTGTCTTACCATGAATTTTGCCACACTGCATATTTTCTTTTCAATTTCAGGCTAATCTTAACTTTACTGGTTAATCATGGTTGGCGTATACCCTTCCTAGAATCCTTGCATGCAAAACAACACTCGTGGGCAAGATTATGGAGAATCCCAAGATATTCTACAAGGGGAATTGATTAACCAATGAAAGAGTAGAACCCATTAGAGACCATGTGTAAATTTGTGCATGAAGCTGGAGGACATTAGTACATTGCTAAATGAGTACTTGACAGCTGTCTTTATTTGGTAGGAGGACAACGTAAGTACAGAATTCGAATCTATGAACTGTGAAGCTCTTGAACAGATTGATATAAGAAGCAAGAAAGTATTGGAGTTTTGGGCAATATTAAAAGTGGTCAAGTCCCCAGGACTTCATGAGTTATTTCCCAGGCTGCTGCGGGAGACGAAGTAAAAAAAAACAGAAGACCTGACCCAAATTTTTAAATCTTCTCTGGCCACAAGGGAAGTGCCAAAGCACGGAAGGACAGCTAATGTGGTTCTGTTTTACAAGACAGTGGCAGAGCTAGACCACAGAACTACAGACCAGTGAATCTCACATTAGTGGTAGGGAAACTATTGGAGAAAATAGTGAAGGAGAAAATTAATCTCCATTTAAAGAAGCAAGGTTTTATCAAGGATAGTCAGCATGGCTTTGTCAGAGAGGGCACGCTCAATGAATCTGATTGAATTTTTCGAAGAGGCGGCCAAGTGTTTAGAGGAGGGTAGATTAGTTGATGTAGTCTATATGGGTTTCAGCAAGACTTTTCACAAAGTCCCACATGGGAGACTGATCAAGAAAGTGAAAGGTCATGGGATCCAGTGTAACTTAGTAATTTGGGTCCAAAATTGGCTTAGTGGCAGGAGACAGAAGGTGGTGGTAGAAGGCTGTTTGTGTGACTGGAGATCGGTGTCTGGTGGCATACAACAGGAATCATTGCTGAATCCTTATTGTTTGTGATTTTCATAAATGATGTAGATGCAACTTTTTGGCAGGGTTGAGGTGGATGATAATTGAGTTGCGGATGACACAAAGATTGGCTGGGTGATTGACAGTGAGGAGGATGATCTGAGGTTACAGGAAGATACAGACAGGGTGGTTAGATTGTTAGATCAGTGGCAAAGAGAAATTAACCCTCAAAAATGTGAGGTGGTGCACTTTGGAAGAAGCCAAGGAGTACTCAAAGCATGGCAGGACACTAGGAAGTTCCGAGGAACAGAGGGATCTTGGGTGCATCTCCACAGATCCCTGAAGGTGGTGGACAGATTAATATGGTAGTTAAGACGATATATCGAATTCTTGCCTTTATCAGTCAATGCTTGGAATATAACAGCAGGGAGGTTGTGTTGCAGCTGTAGAACTTTGGTTTGCAGTTCTCGTCATCACACTTTAAAAAGAATGTGATTGCACTGGAGGAAGTGCAGAGGAGATTTACCAGCATGTTACCTGGGATGGAGCATTGCAACTATGAAGAGTATAGTGTGCTGCATTTTGTTTATTATTATTTATTAATTTATTTTGCTGTATTTACTGTGTCACAATCTGGTCGCCTTGTTATAGGAAGGATATTATTAAGCTGGAGAAAGTTCAGAAGATATTTACCAGGATGTTGCCCAGAATGGAAGGTTTGAGTTATAACAACAAGCTAGATAGGCTGGGATTATTTTCATCGAAGCGCAGGAGGTTGAGGGGTGACCTTATAGAGGTTTATAAAATCAGGTGTCTTTTCCCTACAGTGGGGGATTTCAAGACTAGGGGACATATTTTTAAGATAAGAGGAGAAAGTTTTCATGAAAGACAGGAGGGGCAAGTTTATTTTTAAAAACAGTGGGACATGTTTGGAATGAACTTCCCGACGAAGTGATGGATGCGGGTACAGTTACAACATTTAAAAGACATTTGGATAAGTTCACGAATAAGAAATGTTTGGAGGGATATGGACCAAACGCAGGCAGGCGGGACTAGTTTAGTTTGAGATTATGGTTGGCATGGACTCGTTGGACTGAAGGGTCTGTTTCCATGCTGTATGACTGAGAGAGAGGCTGGATAAGCTCAGGTTGTTTTCTTTTGAGTAGAGAAGTTGGAGGGAAGTGGACCTGACAAAGGTGTATAAAATTGAGGGCCACGGGCAGGCTGACTGGAAAGCAGCTGTTCCCCTTTGTCAAAAATCAAGAACAAGGAGACACACTCTTAAAGTGAAAGGCAGGAAATTTAAAGGGGATTCGAGTCCCTATAGACATAGTGCAAGAAAGTGGGACCACTGTAAGCTGAAGTGTATATTTTAGTATTAGCATTTATGGGATGAAGCGCCTCCTCTGTACCGAATGATTTAATGATTCTATGAATCCTTCTTTCTCATGAGGACATATCTTTGTTGCAAGTCATGAACTATTTTCATAAATATCCTGCTCCTCATACGGTGTTTCTCAATGTCTTTGTTGCTAAAGTCATTTCCTAATCCACTCCAGCTAGCTCTTCCTTTATTTAAGCTTAGCACAGTTGTTTCTGACCCATGTTCGCCCTTTTCAAACTGAACTGTTTCCCACGGGATCATTCACTCTGACATAATTTAGTAAACCTGCCTCATTACGAATCACCAGGTCCAAAATAGCCCAGTCCCTGTTGAATTCACAACATATTGTTCTAGGAAACTGTCCCAAATATATTCTGTGAAATTTTCCTGGTAACAACTTTTGCCAATCTGACTATTCCAATCTACATGATGATTAAGGTCAGGCACAATTAATGTCCTGGCATTTTTACATACCATCATCATCTTCTGATTTATTCTCTGGCCCTCCGTACAGCTACTGTTAGAGGGTATATAGATTAGTCATGCCACTGTCATCGTCTTTTTATTTCTTACCTCCGCGCACATGGATTCTAAATCTTCCAACCCAAGATCATTTCTTGCTTTCGAATTTATTCCAGCCTGTACTAACAATGCCCTTTTCTTTCAAAACATCTCATACCCCTGAATATTTAGCTCCCAGCTTTGATCTTATTGTAACCATGTCTCCAAAATGGTGAAAGATCATAGACATTAATTTGTAGTTGTGTTGTTAATTCATTTATTTTGTGCTAAGTGCTAAGCACATTCAAGTAACATTAATTTTGCCTTTTTAACCATTTCTTTTCCCTCTGACCCTATTTACTGTTGTTTTTTATGTTTATACACTCTGTCCTTTCCTGTTCCACTCTGAGCTAGCTAAATATCTGCCCTTTAATACTGCCATATCATCTTGCTTTGTAAGCCTTCATTTCTCTTCTCCCATAACCCTCTCAAAAAAAACTCTACAGCCTTGGTAATTTGATTCGCCAGGATACTTGTTCCAGCCGGGTTTATGTTAGGCTCGTCCACCAGAGCAGCTCCTTTCTACCCCAGTACTGGTGCCAGTACCCCACAAACTTAAATCCATTTCACTCCACACCAATCTTTGAGTCACACATTTAACTCTTTGATTTTATCTACCCAATGCAAGTTTAGCCATGGCTCAATCAGTAATCTAGAGATAATTATTACCTTAAAGGTTCTGTTTATTTTTAAAGCTAGCTCCTCACTGTTCAAAATCTTTCAGGAGAATGCCCTTTCTAGTCCTTTCAATGTTAATGGGACTCCTCCTCACAGCTGCAAATAACACTATTGCCTATCACCACAACATTCCTATTTCCTTTTCCCACTTGAGTGGATCCCTGTACCACAGTACAGTGATCAGTTCATTCATTTTCCCTGCAGTACCCACTCTTATCTGAAGAATCTCACAACTGTTAGACAACTGCAGGGGTTGAAGTTCCTTAATTGCAATTCCCTGGGTCCTCATACCTGCCCCACCTGCAGTCACACCTTCCTGTCCCTGCTCATAGACCTATTTTGAATTACCTAGTCTGAGGGGTATGATTGTCCTCGGGAATAAAATATCCAAGTAACTTCCCCCTTCTCTGATGTGACGCAATGTCTTCAGGTCAGATGTCAGCTTCTGAAATCAGATCTGAAGTTCCTCGAGTTATAAACACTTACTGCAGATGCATTTGCTCTGGAAACACTGGCGTCCAGCAGCTTCTATACATTGCAACAGCAACACATCACCCATCCCACCATCAGTATTGTAGTTTATTTAATTTATAAATTAACTACTCTAGATTATTTGCTCTTTACAGTTTACCGTATTTATATTTTGTTCCTGCAAAATAAAAATTATCACCAGTATTGATCTTATACTTCAGCAACTGCTTTTAAAGAGAAAAGAGAAAAAAATTCACTGGAGATCTAAACACAATTGGAAGACCTTATTTTTACTTTAAAGACAAGAAATACTCTCCAATCCTGCTCACCAGCTTCTCTCCCTACACTTGTGTCACGCTGTGGACTAACCCATTTGTGCACATTGATTAATATCATAGCTAAGAGTGAACTCAACTTTAATGCACAGCCAAATCACAAAAGATGAAAACTAACCTTCTGGATTCCCTCTTCGTTCACTCGCACTTTCTGGAATAGGGCTTTAAATACTTTGCTCAGGGTAAATGCAAAGAACCGGACTACACTTAACCGAAGACCATGGCCCATCTTCTCCAAAATGTCAGCTGCTTCATCGTTAATGATATCTGGAGATTCACCAGTTTCTTTTGCTAACTGATGAAATACAACATAAAGGTATAATTAAAGGCATAGCTGTGACCGCATAATTTTGCCGAAGGTGTGTTTACGGCAATGACTTCTTGTGTGTAGAATTATGTGTCAGTTTTATTGAAAATAAATTACGCTAATTTATTCCCGCGGCTTGTACCAATTTAAATACTGTGGTTTCAAGAAAATTAGGAGACAGAGCCCAGAGAGAGAGAGATTGAGAGAGAGAGAAAGACAGACAGACAGGGAAGGAGAAAAGCTGACAAGGGGTCAATGAGTAAGTGAAAATGGGTTGGCTGTACTGAAAATAGCCCATGGCCCAGCGAGGGGGTGGGCAAATGACATGGAAGGTGGTGTTCAGGCCCTAAAATTATTGAACTGAATATTGAGTCCTAAAGGCTGCAGAGTTTCCAAGCAGATGATGAGATGCTGTTCTTCCAGCTTGCGGTGAGCCTCCCTGGAGCACAGCAGCAGGCTCGAGACAGAATCTTTCTTATTTCCTTACATCATTATTGAGCTCTAGTGCTAGTGATGCAGTGATTGACTCTAGTAGACCTGCTTACACTTATTTAGAGCTATATTCAAACAAGTATACGGTGAGGGAATTCTCCACACACATATGGACGATCTCAGTCAAAACCTAAAACACACACACACAAGCATGCAATTTTTAACTCGTACGGGAGGAAATAAGTCACTTTAGGTAGGTGTACAGTTGGAAGTGCTTTTTTAATAAGACCATACTGTTTAAAAATGCTGGGGATTTAGATTCCTCTGGCAACACCAGTATTATTGCATGTTCTTCGATATCCAGAAGGTGATGTTGAATTACCTTCATGAACTGCTACTGTCAGTGTGAAGGTACTCCCATAGTATTCTTAGATTTTGTCCCAATTATGACAAAACATTGACCAGAAGTCAGGACGAGGTCTGACTTGGAAGAGAATGTGGAGGTGATGACTTTCCCATGCTAACTGAATCAGGATTCGAGGGCAGAAGACCATGCAGACTTGAATTGAAAGAGATGATGCATGCAACTTGCTGCTTTTAACCGACTTGACAATATGATGTAGGTGATTGACTTGTTGCTAAAATACCACATAAAGGATTTATCCACTGTTGGTAGACTGGCACGTTAGTAATAACAAATGTCAAAACAAAAGAATGGCGTATTTTAACTATGCAGCTTATAATATTTGTGGAAAACGTTTTTGCTTGTTAACAGATCTCAGCAAACTGTTATCAGACTTCCTTCATGTTCTGATCAAGAGATGCTGGTTCTGATTGAATAACCCTTTCATGGAGTTGAGAAAGGCATAATAGGATGAACGGCCTCCTTCTGTACTGTAAGCTTTTGTGTGTAAAATCGTTTCGAGTAACTGTTTATTTTTCTCTACTCCTCTCTATGAAAGCATCACTGCTTTTCTTACAACTCTCAAAGAAGTCCAGAACCTAAGCCATGAATTATCAACACAAATCAACTTACTATCAATCAAAATCCCAGCTGGATTTTGAAAGACCCTATCAGATATGCTATTGCAACCTTAACTAATATTTGACATTTTTAAATATCGATGAACCCATTCGAATTGTCACATTGTTCCTTACCTGTCTGATAACATATTGCACTTGGTCAGATTTCAATACAATGCTCCTGAGAGCACTAGGGGTACGGGGCACGAGGTCCTTGTAAACTACTGGAGTGTAACATCGCATGGCATATCTGAGATCACTGCTGTGTCTGCGCTCTTCCATCAAGTCTTCAAATCCATCCCTTTTATTCAGCGTCATGTCCTTCTGCTATAATGCAAAAATATGATTTTCAATTAAAGAGGTAAATCATACATGTACATCCAGTCACTAGATCAAGTTCTAACTAAGAGATCACATATTCACAAAACAAATATTCCATAACTACTGCACAGTTATGTTCTAAATAATGAAACCGGGTGGTAAGCTGAGCTGTGAAGAGGATGTAGAGATGTTGCAGTGACACATTCGGACAGGCTGAGTGAGTGGGCAGAAGCATTACCAATGCAGTATAATGTGGATAAGTGTGAGGTTATCCACTTTGGTGGCAAAAATAGAAAGGCAGATTATTATTTAAATCTGTAAATTAAGTGAAGGGAACGTCCAACGAGAGCTGGGTGCCCTCATGCACCAATCACTGAAAATAAGCATTCAGGTGCAGCAGGCAGTAAGGGAGGCAAACTGTATGTTGATCCTCATAGCGAGAGCATTTGATTACAGGGATAAGGATGCACTTATACAGTGCATTAGTGAGGACATGCCTGGAACATTATGAAAGGAAAACAAAACTGTAGATGCTGGAAATCAGAAACAAAAATTGCTGGAGAAACTTAATCAGTCTGACAGTATCTGTGGAATGAAAGCAGAGTTAATGTTTTGGGTCCAGTGATGGCAAGACTGACATATGAGGAGAGACTGAGTCAGTGAGGATTATATGCCATAGACTTTAAAGGGGATATCTCATAGAAACCTATAAAATTCTATAATTCCAATGGTAGGGGTGTCCAGAACCAAGGGTCATAGTTTAAGGATAAGGGGTAAATCTTTTAGAACTAAGATGAAGAGAAATTTCTCCACCTGGAGTGTGTGGTGAGCCTGTGGAATTCACTACTACAGGAAGTGGTTGAGGCCAAAACATCGTGTTTTCAAGGAGGTAGATACAGTTGTATTGGTTAAATGAAGCAAAGTACATGGGGAGAGCATGGGATTACATATTGCACTCAATGATCAGCCCTGATCATACTGAGTGTCAGAGCAGGGTCAAGGGGTCGAATGGTCTACTCCTGCTCCTATCTTCAATGTTTCTATGAAGCATAAAAATACGGAAGAGCACTCAGTTACTATTAGGTGTTCTGAACTGGCACTCTAAAGAAGGTAAATCCTTAAGTAGATAGAAATTTCACAAACGTTTGAGTTATAATCTGAAGCAGATTAGTTTTATGACGTTGTCAGACCATGTTGGTGCAGGTGCTGCAAATTCTCATATTCTTGTTGTAAATTACACAAACGCATCATGAAATTGTGGGTACCTTGCCAATGGGAAAAAAGCAAAGACAGCAAGGTCTCACTGTGATGGGATATGTTACGCCCATTCACCCTGACGGAACTGACGGGTTGGCAGTTTTATATCTCATCCAGAGGACAGTGCCTCTGACTTGGAGCATTTGCATAGCACTGAATGGCAGTCTAGGTTTTCAGCTTATGCTTTTACAGCAGGATTTGAAATCCACACCTTTCAGATGAGGGAGCATTATCTATCACTGAAGCACGACTTAGATTGGACTATTGCAAAGATATCCCTCAAATTCAATCTTGAAAACTGCCTCCATTACCTATCTCGTAAATCCAAGTCTGATGGGTATATTTCTTGCAAGGTAAGATTTACCACCACTGAACCAGATCAGCCGGTCCACAATATTATCAAACTTCAACGACTCTCATTGATAACTGTCAGTACGCCACAAATCTATATCACTGCCATAATGCCTTCAGATAAATAATTTTTGGAGATGCAAGCTCTTAACCCTTTACGCGACAGCGCAGATTTATTCAACTCAAATATGACATTTCCTACTGCCCCCCCCATCCCCTGCCTCACATTGAGGGATGGAGTCTGCGGATCTCCAGCCACCAGCTTCCTAATCTCTGCCCTCCTGAAGTCAAGGCCCAGGAGCTGATCCTTCACCCACACATCTTGGGCCAATCCTTCCTTCACACGGTGCAGAGACCGGGCCTCACACCGCCCAGCGATTTATAGAAACAACTCAGTCAACGTCAGGACCCTGGCCATGACGGACGTGAACACTACCCGGTCCCGCTCCTACTCACCGGGTACAGCGACTCCACAGCCGGACTCGCCATGCTGGTAGTGACCAAGTGAGACATCTGCCTCTCATAATATCATTTGCACCTGCCTGCGTTCCCGACTAGGAAGCGAGGCTGAGAGGACAGCAGGCACCCTGCCAAGGCCCTACACCATTCCGCAGCGCCATGCGATGCCAGGCCCGAACCGACCCGAGCCAACCCAACGAGCGCGGGCAGCACACAGCCCCGCCCCCTCACGCTGACCGCTCTCAGCCCCGCCCATCACCGCTCTCAGCCCTGCCCTACATCGCGCCCACCCCCCACGAGCCCAGCACAGCCCCCCACCTTCCCTCCGGACCCCCAACACAGTGCACAGCCCCGCCTCCTCATGCAACATCCGGGATCCAGTCCTATCACCTCCCCGTTCTCAGCCCAGCTCCCATACCGATCTCAGCCCCGCCCCCTATTCCAACAGATGCGCTCCACTCCAGCCCTGCACCCCTCCCATCGCGCTCAGCCCCGCACCATCGGCCAACATCCGGGTACAGCGCTATCCTCTCTCTCTCTCTCACATCATCCGCCCAGTTCCACCCCTTTCCCATCCTCCCGCCATGCACGCCAGCACCGCCCTCTCCACGAAAAACGTCAGCGGTTGCGGACGTCTGACGTAAGAGCGTAGTACGTAGTACGTTGGTTGGTTTCCCAGTTGTGCGTCATCCTTGGGGGTCGTTACCATGGCTGAGAGTGAGGGTCTGTTGCTGGATCATTTTCTGAGCCAACTTTATCAGTGCGGTAAGTTATTGTGGTCTGTCACTGTGTAGGACAGAAAAAAAGAAGAGGAAAAGGAGGGAAAAAGTCTCTCCCCCGCCTTTCCGTTCTGTAGGTTCTAGCTCCACTTTAGGAAAGATATGAAGGTGTCGAGGAGATTCCCTCGAATGGTCCCAGAGTGGAGGGGTTTTAATCAAGATTAGGCTGGAGAACCTCAATTTGTGTTGGTGAAATTCTGATATCACTAGCAATACTGAGCCCCGGGCAACTGCTTAGGGGAGCATGTGTTCAAATCCTAACACGGTGGTCGGTGGAATTTAAACTGAATTCATTAAAATTGGAATCTAAATGCCAGTCTCAGTAATGGTGACCAGGTACCATTGTCGTAAAATCTTGACTGTTCCCACCTAGTCCAGCCCACGTGTGACTCCAGACTCACAATAATATGATTGACTCTGAAATGCCCTTTGAAATGTTGTATCAAACCTCCTCTGCAGCAAGATGGGGCTCTTCACCTCTCTCTCAAGGAAAGTTAGGACTAGGGAATAAATGTGGGAAGGAAAGGAGGAATAAACCCAAATTTTAGACTTGTGTTATAGGGCTGTACAAGAATTTGACAGGTTTTGATCAGGGAGAAAAGGAATCATAGAATCTCTACAGTGTAGAAACAGGCCCTTCGGCCCAACAAGTCCACACCGAACCTCAGAGCATCCCACCCAGTCCCATCCCCCTAATCTACACATCCCTGAACACTATGGGCAATTTAACATGGCCAATCCACCTAACCTGCACATCTTTGGACTGTGGGAGGAAACCAGAGCACCCGGAGGAAACCCACACAGACACAGGGAGAATGTGCAAACTCTACACAGACAGTCGCCTGAGGCTGGAATCGAACCTGGGTCCCTGGCGCTGTGAGGCAGCAGTGCTAACCACTGAGCCACTGAGCCACTGTGCCGCCATGGAAGTACTGATTAGTTGATTGTAGAAGGATTGGGAGATGTGGGGAAGAACTTCTTTCTGTGGAAATGTTAATGACCTGGAACTGTCAGTGAGGCAAAGTTGATCAATGATTTCAATATTGTATAGGCACTTGAGAGAAATAAGCTGGAGGGGATAGAACAGGATAATGGAATTGAATAGATTGCTTTAAAGAGAGGCAGTATGGATTGGAGTCAATATGTCAGATAGACCCCTCCTGTGCAGTAGCGACAGAATAATTCCATGGTTGCCCCCGTCCCTGCCATCAGCATGCTGGCAAGAGATCCTATACATCCACTGATGAGGACAGAAGGGATCTTCGTATACTAACTGCTCTGAAAGTTGGCACATGTACTGACAGAATGCTGCACCATACATGTGCTACACTGAGTGTGGTAGTCTGGATTATGTAATCAAGTCTCTGGTATGGGATTTCAGCTCATGAGCTTTTGACTGGGGTGATTGTGTGTGTATGGGAGGAGAGAGCTACCATGGCTCTACAGCTAATTACTAAAGTACTTCAATATCAGTACTTAGTGACTTGTGAAACCTTTTCACTGTGCGCATAAGGAATTGCACAGCTATTTTACTTCCAGTCTTTGACTGTATGTTTTAAATTAACTATAGGAGAAGCTGCAGTGAGTGAAATAAAGAACAAAAGAGGAAAAGCGACATTGAAAGGAAGAAAATGCATGCAAAATAAGACTGAAGAGCAAATGCGTTGTTCAGAGGATCAGTCTGTGCCTTGCAGCACTACGGTACCCAGAACAAGTGACTCACTTGTAAAGAAAGCAGCAGACTCACTAAGCAGGACTCCAAAGTGTCTTGTCAAGTTGCATGCAGAGCTTCTCAATTCTGTAGGCACCTATGAGGTGCAGGCAAAAGCAAATGGAGAAAAAGTCCCCAACAATGGCATTGTCACCACTGGTGAAAAGAGGCCAGTAGAAGTCATAACCTTTACTGGTCCTCGTAAGAGGAAGAAGGTTCCGCTGGTAATGGACAAAGACAAAGTAAGCTTCTGTGTATGTTTAATTCTGATAACATGTCCCTGAAAAAATACTGTGTGAACCTCTCAGTTTCTGATCTAACTGAATTTCATGGAAGCTTTGACAGTCAAGTTACAGAGGTTTAAGTACTGTTGACTTATTCCTGTGTGATTGTTTATTTTCTCTCTCTCTCGAGCTTGTCATTTCATTTCTGCCCTGTTCTTATTTCTACCTGCTTTAAATGGTAAATCTACACCAGTATGAAAGAGGTTCCTTTGCCTGCACCCCTGGTTTGCAGGAGGAATCTGAGCAAGTCGGCTTGTCGACACTTGCCTAAATGTAGCCATGGTTTCCTCGAGTTTTGCATTTTCAGGTTGTTGGCTTTCTGACTGCAGCATGATGTGCACCCTGACCACTTGGCACTATACATCAAGACATCTAAACCTGGAATTAGGTACAGTCGTTGTATTGCAGCCAGTCATGCATTATTTCAGGCCTGTCTGATAAAATTCCTTGTATTTTAAATATTCAAGGTTTTCCAGCTGACTAAAAATGAGGGAAAATAGATTTGTCACCTGGTAGACTGCCTCTTCCATCAGCGAAGGAGTGATTCCATGGATCATGTTTTGTCTTCAATTACTTATCCAACCATGTTGGGCAGTAATTCACCTTAAGACTAAATAGTTGACATTGACTAAATTTATGAAGCCCACTAAATACCTCAGCTAACTTTCTCTTCCACTTTCACTCACTCACTCCTCATTCCCTGTCGCCATCATCTTAACTTTTTCTTTTGCTTGCTATCTTTATCACTTAAGTTTTTGTTTTGACTACTATTGTAATATTCTGTTTTGGTGCACTTAAATTTTGTTTTAAATTTTCACACATATAGATGGAGGAAGCTGATGAGCAGAGCAACTCAAAACAAGAATTTAATTTGGCGAGGGTAAGTCTTGCATCACCTTTAATTTAGAATATAGAACGTTATTTTCTTCAGATATCCAGTGAAACCTCTCTGACATACCCCAACTGTTGTGTGCCCTCTGAAGACTGATAACAGTCCACAGATATTAGATGGCAACACCAACATTACTAACCTTTGTGTGAGCTGAGTGATATAAATTAATTGTCTGCCATCATGAGCTCTGTGTTCTTACCATGGTATTGTAAATAATTGGCAAAAACAAAAAAAGTGAAATGAAGAGAATTTAGTTTTACACAATGAGTTGTTGTGGACTGGAATTCATTGCCTGAAAAGGCAGTGGAAGCAGATTCAGTAATGACTTTAAAAGGGAATTTTACTGCAGGGCAACAGAGAAAGAACAGGGAAGTGGAACTAAGTGGATAGCTCTTTCGAACAACTGACATATGCCTGTCTTTAAAAGCATAATGGTGTCCTTCTCTTCTGTGTGCTTTGCAATGACTAAAAGAGAGATGAAAGGCTGAAGGCTGGTTTTGTAAAGTCTCCCTTGTAGCTGAACCAAGGACGCCGGTTCCGGTCCAGCCCTGTGATAGATTTGCTGCTCTCGACCATAGAGAGTTGCTGCAATTAGCTTACCTCTGTAGGATGTGTGTGGGGCAGTAAAAGTGTAAGTTTGAATATGCATTCACCCCGATCATTCACTTGGCTGGAAAATGTGCATGCAAATAGGGACGGCATTATGCTCACTTGGATTTACACTCCATGGTAGACTGTTCCATCCAGGCTCACCTGAGAATGATGGCCATTTGAGAAAAACATAGCAGCACATGAATACAAGTTGTTACCTTTCAGTAGTGACGACCACATTTAAAATAAAGAAACTGGAGGCTCATTTTGATATCTTTTGCTTCACAGGCCCGTCTGGAAGTGCACAGATTTGGCATCACTGGTTACAGAAAAGAACAGCAAAGAGTGCTTGAACAAGAACGAGCTATTATGCTAGGTGCTCGAGTATGTTACATCACTTATACCTTGTGAATGGATATGTCTTAGTGATCTGGAGTTTTAAATATTGACACTTCAATATGCAGTCACTGCCTCGGAGATTCTTGGTTTCTGAATTTAATATGTTCATATCAGCTCTTCAGGTTTTTATAATTTTTAATCAAAACAGTGTAGAACTAATGTGTGCTCTTTAACCTGACATTCTTGCCTATTCCTGAGGCTTCTTAACCCTATTTTCTTGGTGCTTTGTCCTCACAGGGGACTGAAGGTTTGGGAAAAGCTGTATCCCCATTGGCAGTTGAATCACAAATTAAACAGCAGTATCGCATAGTAATGACACTTCGAAGGAGGAAAGTTTTTTTCCCAGGTCTGTTGTTTAATAGGGTCCTAGGTATAATGAATTCACTTTTATTCCTGTGGTCTAGTGGTTAGGATTAGGCACTTTCACCACTGCAGCCCCAGTTCGATGCCCAGACAGGGAATCAGGACTTATTGGGGAGGTGATGGCCTAGTAGTATTATTGCTAGACTGTTAGTCCTGAGACCCTGGTAATGTGCTGGGGACCTGGATTTGAATCCTGCCATGGCAGATGGAATTCTATTCTGTTCATATAGGAGATTCACATAATTCCCCATGTCACAAATCCTCACACAATATCATGTAAATGGTACATGTGGAAATGTGTACTTTATAAATATTGTAGTTGTTTGAATTTGAAAATCATTGCGTACAGTTTACAACTTTTTCACAGTTTTGCTTCTCTTTCAGCCCCCAAAACGTGAATATATAAATTACAAAAGATACCAGGAAATGATGAAAGATAAAGCCACAGCAAAAAATACGGTAATTTTAGTGCTGTTTTAACTAAGGGCATGTTGTCAGCTGAGTGTCTTGATGCTCATTGTGAATCAGATACTGTCATTTGGCTTGTGACAATAAATTCAAAAAATAATTAGCATTATTTGATTTGCATGGTTTGTTGGTTAAGAAGCATCCGGTAACACATTTATTCACTTCAGTGTTTCTAAATCTTTCCTTTTTCACTTTAGAATGCAAAACCTGTACTTTCAAGGAAAAAGAAAGAAGAAAGGTGAGCTAGATGTGTTCCAAGTGTATTGGAGGGTGTAATTTTGGTGCTGTTGTTTAAAACAGTTACTTCAGTTCCATCGTTTTCTCCCAAAATATAAGGCTTGTCAGTGTCTGACTCACTCCTATTTTCTCCCATACAGTCCCACATCCTCTTAACGTCCATCTCATCTCATCCAAGAGATTCATTTCTTGCTCCCTCAATTCTCACTAACCTCCTGACCACTCCACTTCTCTCCCTCACCCCGATGCTAAATGATGATATGGTAAATGATTTGCTTTGACAAACCACTTCCTTCCAGCTAAATGTTTGGATGACCGAAGGCATTGTAACATTGCCAACAACTACCTTCCCCACTTCCCAACCACAGTCAATGGCTGAACCAGATTGTTTGCAATCTTAGCATCTAGCTTGAACCCTATCTGAACTGTCAATCCCATACCCTCTTCATTAGATGTGTATTTTTGAAATTTGTTTGTGTGATTAGAGCATGACTAACAAATCCTGCATTTATTTCCTATCCCCAAGAGCCCTAAAGAAGGTGGTTTTAAGCCACCTTCTTGAACTGCTGCAGTCCATGGTGTTTTATTAGGAAGGCAGTATCAAGGTTTTGATCTAATGATAGTGAAGGAATGGTGATATAGTTCCAAGTCAGGATGGTTTGTAATTTAGAGGAGAACCTGCAGGTCAAGGTGCTCTCTTGCACCTGTTGCCTTTGTTCCAGGTGGTAGAAGACACAGTTTTGGAAAGTGCTGTGAAGGAGCCTTGCAAATTGATGGAAAGCACTACTGACACTGCACCAATTGAGGAGGGCTTCAATGTTTAAGTTGGTGGATGGAGTGCTGATCAAATAGGTTGCTTTGCCCCCAAGGGACTTAGGGGTACTTATGCACCAAACACAGAAACCTAGCACACGGATGCAGCAGGTAATCAGGAAGTCTAATGGAATGTTGGCCCTTATTTCAAGGAGGTTGGAATACAAGTTTAGGGAAGTCTTATTGCAACTGTGCAAGGTGCTGGTGAGACCACATCTAGAGTACTGTTTTCATCCCCTTATTTAAGGAAAGATATCACTTCATTGAAGGCAGTTGAGAAGATTCATTAGGATGATCCCAGTATGGAGGGATTGTCTTATTACCAAAGGTAACTTAGAATGAGAGGTGATCTCATTGAGATATATAGGATTCTTAAGTGGCTTGACATAGTAAACGCTGAGAGGATGTTTCCTGTCATGGGAAAGTCTAGGACCAGAGGGCATAGTCTCAGAATTGAGGTGCCAATTTAAGGCTTAGATGAGGAGTAATTTCTTCTGTCAGAAGGTTGATTGTTTTTTTGAAGTTCTTGCTGAGGAAAGCTGTGGGGCAGTGTCCTTATGTAAGTTTTAAGACTGAGATAGATAGATTCTTGGTTAGTAGGGAAATGGAGGATTATGGGGAAAGGGCAGGAAAATGGATGTCAGTGTTGGATCAGCTATGCTCCTGCTGAGTGGTGAATCAGGCTTGAGTGGCCGAATGGCCTACTCCTGTTTCTATTCTTCTGGCTCTTGATAATTTGGTAATTTTTGAGTGTTGTAGAGCTACACTTATCCAGTGAAGACTATTTTATCACATGCTTCAAATCCTTTCTGCTTGAGGCTGTAATGAGGTTGAGGAGCCAAGTAGACCAAGCACAACCCAAACACAGCGTCAGTGCAGTCTATTGCTGAGTAAGTGCCACACAATATGACTGTCAATTACACCTTCTATTACTTTGACTGATGGAATGGCAATATCATGGTTTGCATTTGTCCTGCTTTCTATGTACAGGATGTATCCAGGCAATTTTCCACATTGTCTTGTAAGTGCCAAATTTGTAGCTGCACTGGAACAGCTTGGCTGTGGGTACAGCTGACTCTGGAGCAGAACTCCCAGTACTCCAGATGCGTTGTTGTTAGGACCTGAAGCTTTGCTTTATCCAGTGCTTTCAGCTGTATCTTGCTACCAACTGTAGTGCATCAAATTGGCTGCAGTCTGGTACCTGTGATGTTGGGGACCCCTGGAGGAGATTGAGATGAATCATCCACTCAATACTTCTGGCAAAACAATGGATGTGTCCTCAGTATTTAAGATTCATCAGCTGAGGTGTAGGGGTAAGTATTAATCAAATAGAGGCCTCTTTGCTTATGTTTGACCTGATGCCATGAAACTTCATGGGGTTCAGAGTCCATGGGACTGTAACGGCTATTCCATCTCTGCTGTATACAGTAGACAGGACACCCCTGGGGATGTGACATTAGAGTCTGGGACATTAGCTATAGGTATGATTCAGTGACCATGGCCTTCAGGCTGTTGCTCAACAAGCCTGCAAGACAGCTCTTCCAATTTTAGTACCGATCTCCAAATATTAGTAAAGAAGACTTTGCAGGGTATGCCTTTGTTACTTCCAATGTGGCTGGTCCATATATTTTTACTTTTAACTTTTTCAACAGAGCATTGATAGAACCAAGTGGTGTTCTCAGCATTTTCGGAGGGCAGTTAAGAGTCACCCATATAGCTGTGAACTGGAGTCATATGTACCCTGACTGGTTCAGGGCAATTGTGAGCCAGATGGGTTTTTACAATCATCATTACTTAAACTGGCTTTTTATTTCAGGTTTATTAATTAATTGAATTTAAATTTCCCAGTTTCCAAGGTGGGTTTTGAACTTGCGTTGCCGGAGTACTAGTCCAGGCATTTGGAGCAGTGGCATTAATTAGTACAGTAACATCACAACACCATTGCCTCTAAGATGTCAGTGGATAGCAGAATTACGTGTCTGTGGTGGCTCTTCATCTAGTTCTGGCAAAACACATTGCGTTAGTTGGAGATAACAGTGTGGAGCTGGAGGAACACAGCAGGCCAGGCAGCATCAGAGGAGCAGGAAAGTTGATGTTTCAGGTCAGGACCCTTCAGAAGTTAGCTGCTGTTCGTTGGATCCTGCTATGTAAAAATTGACTGGCACATATCCTACACACAGTGATTGCAGTTAATGGTTGTAAAACACTTTTGGCATGTCTTGAACCCATGAAAAAGCACTGTATAAATACAAGTTCTTAATAATTTTGAATGCTTATTTCTGCTTTGGTAACTCTTCTGCTCAGCCCGTTTGAAACTTAAACTGATCTCAACCCCTTTGGTGTCTTGACCAGCCTCCCATTCCATAAATGTAAGCTCACTCAAAACTCTTCTGCAATAAGACTTGTTCACCCACTACCTTTATTCTCATTGACTTACATTGGTTCCTAGTGTTTTCCTTGTATCTGCCCCTCCTCATTCTCATTGCTACTACCTAATAAAACCTCCATATCTGACCACTGGTGACTATGCTTCAGCTTCCTAAGCTGAATATTCTGGTATTCTCTTCCTACAACTCAGTCTCCCCATCTGTCTGTCCTCAAAAATAAAATCCAGCATGTTGATCAAATGGATGGCCCCCTTTCCTAATCTCTCCTCATTTGGCTCAGCGCCCATTTTGTTTTTACTTGCATTTCTGTGATGTGTCTTAGGATGCTTTTATACGTTAAAGTCACTTTATAAATGAAAGTTGCTATTAATTCAAGATAATCGACCATGGGACAATCCATCAATAATCTTTGCTGGATATAAGTATCATCTTGTGCGAAGACATTAACCCCTCCAGAATTAACCAAGATTTGGTTTCTACAGGAGGAACAAGAAGTCTGAAATAATCCCAACTGGGCAGGTAGGAAGATTTAAAAATGGAGCGCTGATCCTCAGTGACAGTGACATCAAGAGAATCAAAAACAAAGCCAAGTCAAAACATGTTTAAACTCTGTACAATTTATAAAAGTTTTTTAGTCATAAAGTAAAAGTTTATAATAATGCTATATTAAGATGTGTTCAGTTGTCTTTATTCTTCCATGGGTTAGGGCCGTCATTAGAAAAGCCAGCATTTGTTGCCATCCCTAATTACCTTTTAACTGAGTGGCTTGCTTGGCCATTTCATAGGGCAGTTAAGACTCAACCACATTGCTGTGGTTCTCGAGTCGCATGTAGGCAGACCAGGTAGGAACAACAGATTTTCGTCCTTAAAGGACGTTAGTAAACTAGATGAGTTTCACAACAATTGATAATAGTTGTACGATCATCATTACTGAGACTTGTTTTATATTCTAGGTTTATTAATTGAATTTAAATTCTACCTGCTGACATGATGGGATTTGAACCCCCTGCCCCTGACCATTAACCTGAAGCTTTGGTTTATTTGCAGCACTGTTACCTCTGTCATCATCTTTCCCTAAGTCTGTATATATTTTTTGCCTTGTTTGATTGCAGGTATACCTCTTCAATGAATTTGTGATTAAATACCAAAGTTGCTACATTTTTGATTTTAATTTTTGTTTCACCTCTAGTAAATATGATCAAGCCCCTTTCAGCTCAGACAGGTTTTGAATGAGCTTTGCTTTTGGAAACAGCATAAAAATTGAAAAGGATTATAGTATAAGTGAATGAGGAACCAATCATCTAAGGAAATCTTATTCACAATATAAGTTAATCACATCATCCAACTGGAGTCTGATTACCACAAACCTTAAGCTTAAAATGCTGCCTATTCTTTTGCCAGTGGAGGGGACGTAGTTTCTTCAGGTGGTTGTTTGAGGTATTGGAGCCTTGATTTAAACACTTTCTGCAAGCTGTTGGATATTACAGTGCAGGAAAGAATCTCAAATGAATTTTGTAATGTAAATTGTAACAACCAGATTTATTCAAATAACATTTACATTGACTACACAACACACCATTTCTGGCACATCACAATTTATGAACATGCAACTTATAAATACACAGGACAGACATTCACTACTTATGCAATACCAAGTTTGAGAGCAGTGAGCAGACAGTAATAATGTTAAGTATAAAACACAAAATACCAAAATTATCCAGCACACATAAAAAAGTTTGAGTTCTGAGGAAATAGCCACTAGTCACAAAGAATCCAATCAGCGGACCAGCCGCAGAAGTTCCTGATGACTGGATTTACATTTAAGGGGATTTTAACGTAGTAGTTGGAACCATTAGTGGGGACAGCTCCTCAGTTTCTAGGTTCAGTATGACCTGGATAATCCCCAAGTCGATGAGGACAAAATATAAAACTTAATACAGCAAAGTATTTAAAAAATAAAACAAATATTGTGCTCAGTTTTAGGAATTTCCATTTGTTCCGGGGCAGAGTATTTCATGAATTTACCAGCGTGCTCAGGAGTTATTTGCACAAGAGGCTTTTCCACCAATGACTGCAAATTAATTCTGTAACTACAAACCCCGGTTTCCAAGACAGAGTTGAAAATTAAATTTGCACAAAACTAATTGTATTCATGAGTATTTTGTTTAAAATACACCCCAATTCAGAAATGGTTAAAAGTAAGTTGAATGTGAGTGTGCTTAACTTACTGACCATTTTAATAAATGAAATATGGAAATAGTACATCCACATAGTTGATTGTGAGAAGCATTTGTATGTACTGGTAGATGACTCTCTCTCAGCCACTGTGCTTATCAACTCCCAATTTGAGAGAAAAGTATAAAGTTTTGTCAAAATGGGCCAAATTAAATCATCTAATAAATGTAATTCTGAAAAGTAAATGACTTGACGTAGCTGCAGTGTACGGGGCATAGGATTATAGATAACGAATATCAAACATTTGAGTTAAGAACACAATCTAGTACTTCTAAGAAAGATTTGCACCTTTTAAGAATCTTCAAGGTCACTGTGTTTACATGGTAACAAAGATTATATATTTGTTATTTCTTGAGGAATGTTTGGAATTACTTCAAATGAAGCATGTGGTGAGTTTCAGCAAAATATCTGTGTGAGCTCTGCATTCAGCAGATAAATTGCTGTGTCCATTTGGGAGAATTTCTGAAAGGAGATTTTATTGCATCTCGTCTTATACAGAATGCAGTGATTTTGAGGGTTTTTTTTTAAACCAACATTTCTAAATGTAGTTGTGTCATGTAGTTTTAACACTTGTAGTTCTCTTTTGCTCAAGGCCAATAAGCAAGACCAGGGAAAAGTTGCCAGCATTTCCACTGAATCTGAAACCTAATACTGTTGAAACTTGTAATGAATAGATATTTTCTGATTCTATGATTCGCTTGCTATCAAACATAGCTTAAAAATGGAAACATCTCACCAAACGTACATTAGTAATCAGCACATGTAAATGTTAAATTAAACATACTCCTTACCAAAATCTGAAATTTTAAACAAGTAACAACAACTAACCAGCCAACAATCAAATGCTTAAAGTGCACATCAAAAAAAAGGGAAAATGACAAGTGATGAAAGTTCAGAGTCAAATTTGTTAATATAATTTCTTAACTTTCACTCATGAGAATGCATTTGAACAAAATTGTTGAGTATCCTCTTCAATTCATTTTTGAGCCATTGCCAGAACTGTGATTGCAAAGAATCAAATTAACTAAAACTTTAAAAATTTGAAGATCCCAGATGTATTTGTTTAAAACTGCAACACCATAAAAACTGTTTGTATAACAATTTTTATAATTTGAGTTTAAATTATATAGTAAACTTTCAGAGAAGTGCATACTTATCGCCATTATAAAGGCTGGCAGTGGTTCAGCTCGTAAACAACCTGTTAGTGCTGTTTATTCTGCTGCATAGTGCACTTTTTTAAAAACAGTTAATATTGATTAAAAATAGTCTGAAATACTAAAATGGTCCACTCATAATTTATAACAATACATTCAAAACAGATTGTTACAAAATAACTTGTAATATTAAAAACTTGACCATTTTACCTGTTTAAAAATCTAATTTTATGTACTCATCAACAAACAGTTAGCAGCCCTGCTTTCAGGAAATTGCATTTAAAATACCATAGGTTTACAGGTAATGAATGCACTGTGTGAAAAATGAAATTTAAAACCCTACCATCTTGTGATTTCAGCATTATTTTGCATTCACATTCTCAAAGAGATTTATTTTATGTAAGTGGTAAAGTTTCTCATGAGAAGCCACTATCAAATGCTTTGGATTGCTAGCCCATCACAACTGTTCTTAAGTAACTGATAACTTTGTTGCAGCCAGTTGGAAATCACATTTTAACCATGTCACAAGCTTTATTTTTAAAAATAGCTTAACAAAAAAAAATCTTCAAAAGGAAAGATTCAGATAACAATTGGAGAGAATTGCCCTGATGTTTAACTGATTCATTTCACATCAATTTATCACTGAACTATATTCTCAAGTTCAGTACATTCCAAAAGTATGGTCAAAATGTCAGGGAAATAATATAAAAGGATTAGGGACTTTACAGGAATTTAGTTGTTCAAGTTATGGAATTGTAGAACAACAAAGTATATTCTGCCCATCACTCCAGTGCCAATTCCTTCACCATTTATATTCACACCTTTCATATTTTATTTTTAAATTTTGACCCATTCCCATTAAATTTTTTCTGGTTTCTGCTTCAACCATCAAGTCTGATAGGACATTCCTTGTTCTCACAACTTTCTGCATAAAGAAATTTCTCCTATCATTTTTTTAGCCTTTGGTTACCTACTCAGACCATAGGAACTATTTTTACTGTTAACTTTAGCATAACCTTTCATAATTATAAATTCCTCTCGGTTCTCCTCTTAACTTTACCTCTTCTAATAAAAATAAAATCTCATGCATTCCTGCTACCCAATACCTCCCATCCCTGGTATGATCCTAGTAAATCTTTAAAGGCACCAAAACTGGATGCAATATTCCAGCTGTTGCCTAAATAGTGATTTGGATAAGATTAATACTACCCTTTGTTTTTGTTACTCCAAATCCTTATTTATAAAAACTAGGATGTTGTATTCAGCTGTATGAAGCTGTTTTTCAGCTTTATCTTGGCAAATATTTATACTTTGATCCATGCCTAAAACAGATGACCTGCAATTTATCTCATTGCTGCTTGTGGGAACTTGCTGTGCATAAACTAGCTACCATATTTTCTTTAATACAACAGCAAAAGCAATTCAAAAACAATTGATTGAAGTGCTTTGGGAAGGCTAGAGGTTATGAAAAGTGCTATATATTTCCAGCTTGGTCTCCAACGTTTGAAGAACGGAATGGGTTCTTCAAACTGCGGATGCTATCATGAACTGTAAAAGTGTTTTTACAGGATACAATGTCTCTAATACATTATGATATTCACCGTTGAGGTGCCATTGAATTAAGGGGCATAATAACTATACACCATAATTTAAGAAATTTCAGAACATTGGATTGAGAATGTTCTCCCATTCAACAGTGAAATCAGCCCAATATGATTCTTTGTTCCGTCGTTCGTACACTGAAGAAGACTTCCAATACAGGCTATTAAGGAAAAGGGGAATGACTGCAGCTAATGGGATAAATCAGCCCAGGGGTCCATGCTTGCTCAGTCCAAATGCGTACAGCTACGTTTGTAGAACAGCTAGCGAGGTACCTGTTCCTACCGGAGTCCAGATTGCAGAGGCCACAAGCTCTACTTCTGAGTGACCAGTGAATTTGAGGGAAACTCAAATGAAACTCATGAGCACAGACTCATGAAATGGTAATTCAAGGTGAAAGGGACACCACAGTGTTGGGGAGGGGTGGGAACTTGATGTGAATAATATCACTGTATGGATATTCCCCCATTCCATGTCACAGGGCTCATCAGTGGAGGCCTTGTGAAATGCCCAGAGCACAACCAATATCTGGGGGAAGGATCTTGATCTAAGAATGCTCCTGTTCAATAATTATGTTGTCAGAAATTTGGCTGATTCTAAGTACAGAAATTGACCCAATAATCCCCTTCTTGCTGGGAAGTAAAATTAAATAGTTGCTACTCAATTCTAGGATGTTCGTGAACCTCCACTGCTTGAGCCAAGTGACCCTTCATCTTTCTATTCTGATCCTCAAACTATCCTCGAGATCAGAAGAATAATTTGTTTCAGGTGGAATAAGAAAAGCTACCCTTTTTATGTAAAACAATAGAAAGGCCTGTTCTTATCAAATAAAACAACATAACAATGATATAGAGATAGTAGGAACTGCAGATGCTGGAGAATCCGAGACAACAAGGTGCAGGGCTGGATGAACACAGCAGGCCAAGCAGCA